AATAATTATATATTTTTATTTCAAATTCCAGTTGCTTGTTGCTGGTATATAGGACATTCAGATATTACTGTGGTATCCTGTAATTTTGCTATTAATTGCTTATTAACACCAGTATTTTTTTTTTCTTGTCAATTCTTTGGGATTTTTGCACCTAGACAATCATGTCATCTGCAAACAAAAAAGTTTTTTTTTCTCCTTTCCCAAGTTGTGTACCTTTAATATCTTTTTCTTGCCTTACTGCAGTGTTATGCTGACTGCCAGCATGATGTTGAATAGGAAAGAGGACATCCTTGTCTCAATCTGATCTTAGGGGGAAATCACCTACTTCTCATTATCAACTATAATGTTAGCTATAGTTTTTGTAGCTTTTTTAAAAAAAATCAAGTTGAGGTAATCCCCTCTATTCTTAGTTTGCTGAGGAGTTTTACCTAGAAGATGTATGATTTTGCCAGATGCTTCTTCTGTATCTGTTGATTTGATTATGGCTTTTCTTCTATAGCTTCTTGATTTGATCATTTAAATTAAATAATAATCAAGTGTTTAATTGGCCTTGCATACCTGGGGTAAATTCCATTCGTGTGGTATATAATCCTTTTTAGATATTGCTGGATATCTATTGAGATTTTTGCAGAGACATTAGTCTGTACTTTTCCTTTCTTATAATGTCATTATCTGAGCTTGATATTAGAGTAATACAGATTTGTAGAATGAGCTGGCAAGTGTACCCGTCACTTTGGTTTTCTGGAAAAGATTGAAGAGTATTGGTATTATTTCTTAAATGTCCAGTGGAATTTACTAGTGAGAAATATCTGGAGTTGGTGCTTTCTATTTTTTTATTTTCCTCAAATTTATTCATTACTTATTCAATTTCTTCAGTGGATGTAGGCTGTGATGTTTAATTTTATGTGTCAACTTGACTGAGTCATGAGGTGCCCAGCTATTTGGCCAAATATTATTCTGGGTATTTTTGTGAGGGTGTTTTTGGATAAGATTAATACTTAAATCTGCAAACTTTGAATAAAGCAGATTATTTTCCATATGGGTGTGGACCTCATCTGAAAAGTTCAAGAACTGAAAACAAAAACTGACCTCTCTTAAGCAATAGAAAATTCTCCAGCAAATATCTTCAGACTTCATCTGCAAAATTGGATCTTCCTAGTCCTATCGCAGATGGCCTTTGGGCTAGAACTGTAGCACCAGCTCTCCCGAGTTTCCAGCCTACCAGTCCTCCTTCCAGATATCAGTCTTTTCGGCCTCCATAACTGTCAGAGCCACTTCCTTACAATGCATCACTTTCTGTACATAGTCACCTCCCACAGGCTCTGTTTCTCCAGAGAACACTAATATATAAGCCTATTCAGATTATTTCCCTCTGTGTCCATAGTGGTACTTTCTGTCTCTCAAGCAATTAATTAATTAGTTGTTAATAATATTTTTAATTATCATTTTAATATCAAAGGGATCAGTAGCAATGACCCATTTTTCATTTTTTTATGTTAGTAATTTGTCTGCCCCCGCCATTAGCCAGGTTACAATTTTATAAATTATATTGACCTTTTCAAAGAACTAAACTTTTGATTTCACTGATTTCTTTATTGATTTACTGGTTTTAATTTTATTAATTCCTGTTTTAATTTTTTTGTTATTTTTCCCCTCCTCCTTTGGACTTAAATTGTTCTTCTTTTTCTAATTTTTAAAGGGAGAAACTTAGATTGTTGACTTTATTTATTTTATTTTATTTTTTTAGAGAGAGAGAATTTTTAATATTTATTTATTTATTTATTTAAGTTCTTGGTGGACACAACATCTTTGTTTGTATGTGGTGCTGAGGATCGAACCCGGGCCGCACGCATGCCAGGCGAGCGTGCAGATTGTTGACTTTAGATCTTTCTTTCTTTCTAATGTATACATTCACTACGATACCTTTCCCTCTATTATTGTTTTCCCTATATCCTACAATTTTGATACATTGTATTTTTAATTTTCATATAATGCAATATATCTTAAAATTTCTTCTGAGATTTCATTGAACCATCTGTTTTCCTATAAATATATTATTTAATCTCTAAGTCTTTTGAGATATTCTAATTATCTTTCTGCTATGGATCTCAGGTTTCATTCCATTATGGTCTGAGTATATCTCTTGTATGTGTTCTATTCAGTTAAATTTGTTCAGGTATGTTTTATGGCTCTGAATGTGGTTTATATTGCTGAATGGGCTATGTAAGCTACCAATTCAACTTAAAGGAAAAAGTAAAAAAATTAAAGTAGACGAAAAATGAATTTACAGATTTAATGAGGTAAATGGAAGCTGAAGCAAGACTATGTAAGAAATTAGCAATAGTTAAGATGGTATTGACTATCATTCTTTAGTTGACTAAAGTTTGTAAAATAAAATTTCAAACTTGATGTACCACACCTACTTGCCTACCCAACCGTGTAAACAGTATTTTGCAATACTTTTCATTCAAGTTTTTTCTGAGGTGAGAAGTTTTAAAAATCTTAAAAATCCTTAGAGAAGAAGACACTGTACTCTCTTAGCTCCAACTCTTCAGTAATGTCCCAGCATGGAGTTGTCCAGCTGTACCTGGTTCTACACAGTTAGTAGGCCCTGTGGGATTCAAAACCATGCTTTGCTTGTGGGCACACCACACCACACCACACACACACACACACACACACCACAAACAACAAAACTACCAAGGACTGCTGACATTTCAATAACAGAACAATCTATCTTATGCATATGTAATGATGTAATTTATGGAATAAAAGGAGATCCAGGTGAACAATGCGCATTGTTTTTGAGTATCACCTGCCAAATATCTAGTATATTTATCCACCAGTGCATGTGACCATTTTGCCACAAGGATGATGAAAATGAAGATTACTATTTAGTAGTAGTAGAGACAATGAGTGACCTGTATTCTCTAGAACTTCTTACTCCAGTAGCATTCCAGTCTTTCAAAAAAAGAGAAAAGTCTAGCAGGAATACTCCAACCTCTGGCTATACCTGTGGTAGGGCCAGCTTCTGGTGGATTTGGCTGGCTGTCCTGGGTGGTGGGCCTTTTATCTCCAAGGTCTCTAAGCTGATGGCTTTGTTCTTACCCATGCAAACCCAGGGCCCAGAAAGTCACATTAGATCTTCAAGGTATGTCCAGAGATTCCACAAAATGGACCCAGGAGCTGTCTGCAAAGACTTTAAAAGTGAATCTTGTTCTGTAGGATGTTTAGCCACTCTTTGTTGCAGTTGTTCATGAAGGGTACGGTGCACAGACAATGGTATCTGCTCCAAACATCCTCCCCACCCCGACTCCTTAGAAATTAAAAGCTGCTCCTGGGTTGGAGCATTAAGCATAATATGGCTGTTGTTTTGAGCTGAAGAGTTCAGTGCTGCTGTGGATCTGCACATAAGTCTCTTGGTCCTGCAGCTGACTCAGGGGCTGTTTGTCTGGAGTCAGTGGGGACGGGTCACACTTAGCCCTACCCTCCTGCCAATACCAGCACTGAGAACACCTAATCTGTTCCCAAAGAAAACCTCTTTCCCTGGGAGCCAAGACACTGAGAATATTCTTTAGATGATATATTAAGCTAACCGAGGAAAATCAACTGAGATGGATGATGTAATTTATGGAATAAAAGGAGATCCAGGTGAACAAGAGGAGAGTTCTTTCCCAGTGTCACCATTAAATGTGTGCCCCTTTCCTATTTCTGTCATTCAATTCCTGGCACTACCACCCTGAGAAGAACTGGTACTGGTTCCAGTAAGTCCGAGGGTGGTGTTACCCTCTTGGGGATGGTTTCACTTTTGCTTTGCTTCCCTAAGAAACTTCTAAACACCTACAGCAATAAGGCAGAGCCAGGCAGCAGCGGGCTGCACTGGAAGGGATGGAGGAGCCCTGCATTCTGGTTTAGCTCTGCTAGGCAGGGCCTTCTTTGGGCCTCAGGTTTCTTTGCCTCTAGGATTGCCCCCTTCCAAAACGGGTGAGATAGAATACAATATCTCACCTTTTACTGAATTTGGAGTTTATAGGATGTTTTCATAAACCTTTGCTTTTTATAAAGGACAGAAACTATGATCTTTATATAATAGGCATAAAAACTGAGGAGAAACTAAGTATCTTACCCAAGATTATATACCTCAAGTGTAATTAAACCAGAACCCAACGTAGAGATCTGGGTTCTAAATTCAGTGTGGGCTTTTAATTTTTTTATTCTGTTTTTTGGAAAAGCTTTTTTTTTTAATTGTGGTAAAACATGAAGATATAAAATTTACCATCTTACCTATTTTAAAGGGTGCATTTATGTGGTAGGAGGGATATTCGCACTACCCTGTGAACTTTATCACCATCCATACCCAGAATCTCTTTATCATCCCAAACTGCTATTTGGCTACTTGTTAAACACTGACTCACATTTACCATCCAGCCTCTGGCAATCACGATTCTACTTTCCATCTCCACGACTTTGACTACTCTGAGTCCCTCATGCAAATGGAATCATATTATATTTGTCCTTTTATGACAGGTTCATTTCACTTAACGTAAGGTCCTCAATGCTCCTCCATGTTGTAAGATGTGTAAGAATTTCCTTCCTCTCTAAGCATGTTTTTAGAAATATTTTTAATTGTAGATGGACACAATACCTTTATTTTGTTTATTTAGTTTTTTTACGTGGTGCTGGGGTTCGAGCCAGGGCCTCATGCACACTAGGCAAGTGTTCTACTGCTGAGCCACAGCCCCAACCCTCCATTGCATGTTCATACAACACTTTACTTTTCCATTCCTCTGTGATGGACTCAGGTTGTTTCAACCTCTGGCTCTTGTGAATCGTGCTGCTATAAATATTGTTGTACCCATATCTAGGCAAATCCCTGCTTTCAGTTCTCTTGAATATACACCCAGAGAAGTAGAATTACTGGATCTTATAATCATTCAATGTTTTATTCACATTTTTATTTCTCTACTTTTAACAGGCAAAGTCCACTGTTCTTTTAAAATGAAATAGAAAATAATTTCCCACATCTTGTTATTTACATTGGAAATGACATTTTCTTCTAGTTTTTTTTTTTTAAAAAAATCGGCCAGGGTATTCTTTTGGTGCGGGAGCCTTACTGATTCAGGACATCACTGGTGATGAAAATAATGCCTTGGGTTTATTTCGTCCTTTGCTCCTGATGCAAAGTGTTACATTGATGCTACCTCATCTGCTTCTTCCACGACAGTGAGAGGAGGGCAGGTAACATTCACCTCATCTTACAAGTGACAAAAATGAGGTTCCAGAAGGTGAAGAGATTTTCTTCAGGGAGAATGGAGTGCTAATAAAATGAGATTCCAGCTCTCTGATTCTTAATTTAAGGCTCGGACAGGTCCTGTACACATAAATGGAATATATTGTCAAATAATCCTAGTTTGATGCTTATATGATATGTATATTATTCTGGGTTCTCTGGAGGAATAGAACCCATAGAATATGCACAAAATATAAGAGGGGGCTAATTAGCTTGGTTTACAGGGTCAGAGGCTGGATAGTTCCACAATGGCTGTTTATAGGCTGGAGAACTGGGAAGACCAGTAGTTATTCCACGCAAGAAGCTGGAAGCCCCAGCACAAGAGGGACCGATGATGCAGCCCCAGGCTGAAGACTGGAAGTTCCTGGAGAGCCTCTGGCACTACTCTACTTTAAAAGGCTGAGAAAAACTGGAATCTGACATCCATGAGCAAGAACAGCAGCAAGACACACACCCACTCCAGAAGGGTGGACCGTGTGCCTGCCTGAACATCCCCTTCCCCCTCCTCCCCTTTTCCTCCTCCTCCTCCTTTGCCTTCTGCTTTTGTTCCATTCAGGCCCCCAGCCTACTGGACAGTGCTACCCACACTCAGTTCACTGACCCACACCCCAGTCTTCTCTGGAAACATCCTCCCTCCCACACAAACTCAGAAGGATGCTGTAACCATTTCCTGGGCATTCCTCAAACCTGTCAGGTTGACATTTAAGGTGAACTCTCTCGTTACCTGTTTTGTACACTGAGAAAGGTCTCCAAAAGTCTATGAAATGACAACGATATTACTAACCTCTAAGGAAAGGGTAAGGAAGATCCCCCCCCCCAAAAAAAGCAGAAAAATATTTTTCAAAAATCAATCAGAGAGTTCTAGGAAATTATTAACAACTCAATTACACAACCATATCATGATTATTACGAAAGCAGAAACTTAAGTGGAAACACTAAAGTTGTTTTTATGAAAGTTCAGTATGATGCTTCACATCAGTTGGAAAATATGAAAGTTTGGAAAAAAAAGTTCTTTGAACACAAGTGCGGCATATTCTCATGATGGAGCTGCTGCTACTCAAGTACAGCCCTAGGTCCTGTCTCGGGTGTGCTGAAGGTTAAGGTCGATGTCAGTGACCTTTCGTCTTTTTCCTGTTTGGGGGAGTTTGCTCATCATCTTCTGATTTACTTGCCTCTCCACCTCTAATGCATTTAACCTTCAGTTCCCTCTCAAAGTGACGTCTTACCCACGATCACTTCTCTGTTCCCTCTTCCCACTTGCTCCCAATGCATAAGCACTCTTCTCGGCACACTTAGCTCAGGTTCCAGCGTGCGGTCCGTCTTTCTCTCTCTTCTCTAGGCTGTGAGCACTGGGAGGCAGGCTCTGTCCCATTCTTTGTTTCTCTGCTGCTTGTCATATTGTCCCACATACAACACAGACTCAGGATTTATTTGCTAAATGAAAACAATACAATAATAGGAACAAATCAATAAGTCCAAGTTGATCTTCCAAGGCATGCTCGTCCTTGGACTGACTCGGGTGTCTCCTTCCCTTCCAAAATCAATGCCTCTGTCCTCTCCCCTCAGGTGGTTGTTAATGCCACTCTGCTGCCCTGCACCCACCCCCCAACATTCCAGACTAGAATGGGGATTAGAAATGAGGTGCCATTTTCAGATAGAGCATTAATCTCTAGGATATATAAAGAACTTAAAAAAAAAAAACTTAACACACGCACACACCCAAAAACAAAACAAAAAAAACCAAATAACCCAATCAATAAATGGGCACTTCGCACAAGAAGAAATATGAATGTAACAAATATATGAAAAAAAAAGTTCAACATCTCTAGCAATTAGAGAAATGCAAATTAAAAATACAGTAAGATTTCATCTCACTCCAGTCAGAATGGAAATTATCAAGAGTACAAGTAACCATAAATGTTGGCAAGGGTGTGGGAAAAGAGGTTCACTTATACATTGCTGCCACCTGGGACTGAAAATTAGTGCCACCAATCTGAAAAGCAGTATGGAGATTCCTCAGAAAACTTGGAATGGAACCACCATTTGACCCAATTAATCCATTTCTTAATATATACCCAGAGGACTTAAAGTCAGCATACTACAGTGACACAGCCACATCAATGTTTATAGCAGCTCAATTCACAATAGGTAAACTATGGAACCAACATAGGTGCCCTTCCACAGGTGAATGGATAAGGAAACTGTGGCATATGTATACACAATGGAATATTACTCAGCCAAAAAGAAAAATGAAATTATGGCATTTGCCAGTAAATGGGTGGAACTGGAGACTGTCATGCTAAGTGAAATAAGCCAATCCCCCAAAACCAAATATCTCTGATATGTGGATGCCAACACACAATAAGAGGGAGGCAGAATAAAATTATTTTGGTTTAGATAAAGGGGATTGAAGGAAAGGGGGGGTAAGAATAGGAAAGACAATAGAATGAATTGAACAGAACTTTCCTATGTTCTTATATGAATACACAACCAGTGTAACTCCATATCATTGCAACTACAAGAATGAGAGGTTATACTTTATGAATGTACATTCTACTATTCATGTATAACTAAAAAGAACAAATAAAAAAATTTTAAAAAAATGAGGTGCAGTCATTAGGACAGGCTAACCTTTGGATTAGAGTAGGAGTCAGGTGAGGAGGTAGGGGCAGCACAGAGCAGGAAACTCTCCTAGTTACACCTTAGCCCTAGAACTAAGGTTGCTAAGAGACATTTGACTGCTGCATAATCCCTGCACAGCCTCAGAATAACCTGGATGGTCTAAAACAAAACAATCAAAAACAATTCTAGAACCCTACTGGATCAGCATTTGCAAGGACGGGCCAGGCCTGTGTGTTTCACAAGCACCCTCGCTGATCTAGTGCCAGTCCCTCACCTCTGCCTATCTTCCTTCCTAATAGGCTCTGGGGTGAGCCAAGAAGGGGAATTGAGGAGGTGGGTCTTGGGAGACTTTAAAGTGGCTGAAACATGGAAGGGAAGTCCTGAGTTTTAGTAGCTAGAAGGGAGAGGAAGTTGCAGCCGCTCAACATTTAATTGATGAAGCAAACTGAGTCTTAGCCAAGGTCACAGAGCAGGTGGTAGAGCTGGGACTCTAACCCGGGCTATCTTATTCCCATATATGTCTCCTTATCTCCTGAAAAATCCTGTCTAGCCTGTCTGCGTTGTTAAACTGTGCATGCTAAAGAATGTTAAGCTAACATCCGTGTCTGGGAGACTGGGGAAAAGCTAGAGGCAAGTTGAGACCCATCACGCCCAGGAAAGCCCAGGGCCACCTTCTGAAGCTCCTGTTGGGCCTCTGAGGCTTTGCCTGAGTCTCAGTTCCTCTAGCCATAAAATGCAGATGGTATTTCCATACCTTCTTCTTTGCACTGCAGTGAAAATTAATTGGGCCATGTTTATTGTGCTCTTTGAAGATGAAAAGCTTCAGCATTAAGTAGGGAGAACTATCAACATGATCCCACATTTCTTGATTCTATTCCACAGATTGGAACTATAAATTCTATTAGAACCTCCTCCTTTTCCTCCTCCTCCTCCTCTTTAAATTCTCTGTTATTTCTAAACTGGTCAAAACCAGGACCTAGTGGAATTTCTGAGCTTTCCAAACTGGAAATGGTTTGGAGGATCTAATTGCTGGCTAGGATTGGCGAAGGGAGGGAAGAAGCGTGTCTGAACACAACTCCAAGCATTCCTTGGTCTGCCCCTCAACCTGGAATCCTGCGGCTGGCTGTCTCGGGCTTGGCTTTGACCTTGGCTTCTTGAACTGTGTATTTATAGCCTCAGACCTCCTGGCCCTTCCATTCTCCCTCACCACCGCCCTTCCCTTCCTCCTCCGCTTCCACCCACAGGCACACAATCCCACTAAGCCTGAGATGTTGGAGGAGTTGTAAATGTACTTTTTAATGCAGTATTTGACATTTTTAACTCTGCTTTACAGAAGTGCTAAATGCGAAATATCTGCTGTTTGAAAAGCCGATCCTTACCCTTTGCCAAAGATAGCAATATATAATGAAAGAGAGAATAGCTTTTAGTTCTAAAGAAGTTAGCAGAATTAAAATTAAATACTGCTTTTAAGATAATGGTAAAAATATGATCTGTCTTTAAATAAACAAATGTATTTAAAAAGAGTATAATTGCTAAGGAACCACTTCTTTGGAGAAATAGAACTAAATGGAAATATATGTTCAATTTGAAGGCTTGAAACTTTGATTACCATTCTGACCAAACGTCTCAATTCCTTCAAATTGAAAATACATACTGGACTTTCACTGAGATGAGAAGTTGGGACACTTTGCCTTTAGGATCCAAATGCCCAACTCTGAATGATCCCACTGAGCTCCTTCTGCCACCCTGTTCCTGGTAGGTGCAAATAGGAGTTGTCCTGATATTTCCCATATATTCCTTCTCCAATCTGTGGGGAGGGAGGGGAGGAGGAGAGAAGGCAAGAGGGGCCATGTCCTGAAGTCTGAGAGTGGCCACCTGCCACCACCGCATTGTGGTCCAAGGTTTGTCAGAGAAAAGGACGGGTTTACCTCTTAGCACAGACACTTCTATATACATACAGGATGAACATCCTTGTTCTGGAAATCCAAAATCCAAAATGCTCCAAAATCTGAAACATGTTGAGTGCTAACAGAATGCCACAAGTGCAAAACTCCATACCATAAAACTTTTCTTTATGCTCAAAATTATTAAATTATTGATTACATAAATATTGTATAAAACCAACTTTAGGCTATGTGTATAAGGTGTATATGAGAGAGAAATGAATTTTGTGTTTAGAATTGGGTCCCATTCCCAAGATAGCTCATTATATATATATATATATATATATATAT